TGAGAGGATGGTTAGAACTTTATTAGAGAGGGTGAGGGCTATGTTAGCTTCATCTGGGCTCTCTAATAAGTTCTGGGGGGAAGCTATTTGTTATACTGTTGATGTGGTTAATCTGTCCCCGTATGTTCCCTTAGGAGGGAAATGCCCTGAATCTGTGTTCATGGGCAAACCACTTGACTTGCCAAATTTGAGAGTGTTTGGTTGTGCTGCTTATGTGAATCGTGTGAATGATAAATCTGAACCACGGACTAAGAAATATGTTTTCTTAGGATATCATGATTGCATGAAAGGTTATAGGCTTTAGTGTAGGAGTGAAACTTGCTTCAATGTGTTGATGAGTAGAAATGTCATTTTTGTTGAAAATGAATTTCCTTGCCTACTTGTTTCTCCTGATGTTACTCCAAATGAGGTGGAGCATTTGCCTGATGTTCATTCTGATTTACTTGTTGAAACCAAACCCAAATTTGTGGATGAAAATGATTTTCATGTTGAAAATAAAGAAAATAATATTTCTATTAAGGTGGAGCATGATATGAATGTTCTGTGCAATATGCTTGAGTTGCGTGATTGCCATGTTATTAGAGATAGAGACATTAGGAAGCATGTGAGAAATAATATGTGCAAAGTGTTTGACTATATTTCCTCTGAGTCTGCTTTAAATGTGCTTAATTCTCTTTTAATTAAAATCTTTGTGATATTTAGTATGCTATTTTCTTTGTGTTTTGAAAATGTGATACCAAGTGATTATGTGAGCTCTACCTGTGCTAGTTATAGAAATAATATTGTTTCTTTTATTTTCTGTGTACTTGCTTTGTGTGGTTGTTGGATTAGTTGGAATCCCCAACTTCTCCCGGATGCTTGCTTGCGAGGTCTATTAACATGTGTTGTGCTTGTTAATAGTTTTGTGATGGTTTTGGTTCTGAACTCGAGGACCAGTTGGTAGAGTTCAGTCCATCGTGAATTGGGTTTGCATGGTAAGCTTGGTCCGAAAGGGAACTTTGGTTCTCATCTATTACTTGTATGATCGCAATGATGTACTTGTAATGGTCCGGCGATGATGAGTCTCCTCACAACTTTGTATTGCTACTCTACACCACCTAGGACCAATAAGGTGGAGAATGTTGGAGGTATTGGTCCTACCAAGGCTTCCCTTCCACTTTATTTTGGGCTTGCACCCTATGTTTAGTCCTACTTGCTATACTCCAGTCCAATTACCTTGCCTCTATTTGTCTTGTCCGCTGCCCATTATTATTGAGCTGTGTTGTTTGGCCCTTTGCTATCTTACCTTTGAACAACTTGTCTGGAGCCCCCTTGTTTGTCAATAATACCCGTGAGCAATAATAGGCAGTCTGCCTATTATATTATTGTGCTCCTCCTTTGTGAACCGTAGCCTGCACAAAAACCTTGAGCAGAGTGTATCTCCTCCTCCTTCTTTACTTAGTGTGAGAGTTCCTTTGTGGAGTGTGAGTGAGAGGAAAACATGGTGAGATGGAGTGGCCTATCCTAGTGTGGTGTGTGTGAGTCAGCTAAAGGGTTGGAGACCTGAGCCGGAAAGAAATCGACACCCAACAACATGGTAAACAAATTGTTGCATCTTTGCCAATACTTTATTCCAACCATTTATGCTCATCAAACCAACTTGAAACGAAGCTACGTTTTTAGCCGTCAATTACTTTAAAAGGGAAATCATAATCCCGAGGTTGAAATGACCCTTCTTGAAGGTAACTACGACGTACCTCATCTTGAACACTAGGATGAGATCAGCATGTTGTTCATCTAGATTGTAGGCCAAATTAGTTTCACTTTAAGCAAGTACGTAATCCAATTTTTTATTTACTAAAGGCGAATCATTTGAATTAATATCTTAACTACTCTCGGTACTCCGAATTGTTTTAAATCTGAATACACTAACAAAATATATTTTCATCATTAATCGTAAAATTTCGAAAAAAAACATTCATAAATGCATAAATCTATTAATTTAGTCTTAACATTCAAAAAAAATTATAAATAATTGGAAAAAATGAATTGATAGGAAGTAGTTGAGGACTTGAGGTGAAGGGCGATATGTTGATGGCAAATTGAGGCGAGGGATAGTTGAACCCTGTACCTCCGGGTCATAAGTTTTTGGTTACACGCATGCCTTCATTCCTCTGCTACAACTAGCTGATTTCTACTTTGCATTTGTTCTACATATACATCTACTACTTCATTTTTTTAAAAATATACCTATATATATAGGTATATTTTTCTAAGTCAAATATACTACTAGCTGCTACTATTTTTCTTAGTGGGTCCGCCATTGCGCCGGTGTCGGGTTTGGGTCCCAGGGAGGGTTGCGAGAGATTAGGATGGTTTTTTCATAGTTGGAGCCATGGAGGTGCAATTTATTAGCTGCAAATTACCTACCCCGAGAGGTTGAGGCTTTAGCCATGCTTGAAGCACTTAATTGGATCAAAGGTCAAAGTTGAGCAGAGTTAAAGGTTGAATCTAATGCGGTTCAACTTATTACATGCATACGGGAAGGGTCTGATGAATTGGCTTTTGGAATTATTGTTAGTGATATTATAGAGTTATCACTAGTTTTACGAGTATTAGTTTTGCTCTCGTAAGGTGGTCAACTTCTTTGTCTTAATTGCTATGTTTGGAAAAATTCTCATCTTTCATGTATTATGTCTTCTTTAAACTTTGGCATGATTAATAATAAGTAGCTGAGTTATCTTTAAAAAAAAGGAGTCCAAAAGCTCCACATTTAGCTTTTTTGACTCCTAAAACCTTCCCACTAAATATGGTCTAATTGGAGTTCCACTCTTAAGGTTTGCCTCACTCTTCTCACAGAATGATATACGCAAAAGGCTTTTTACAGTTTAAAACTAGAGAGAAGCCAAAGTCATATTCACCATCCATGGATTTCCACCAAGGTTCATTTTACACCTTGATGTACTATTGCACTACGATAGCTAGAGTAGTCGCAAAACTAGCAGAATTACTTTGACACAACAATAGCAGCTCACTAAATTTTGGGATAATCAAGATGTTCCAAACGATTGTCTCACTAATTTGTCAGGAAACAATAATGCCCCTTCCCACAAGTGTGCCAAGGTAATTCACGAACCTCACGGTTTGCTTCCAAGGTTTCGAATATATTCAGCTATGTTATTAACGACAACAAATCTCCTAACTAATTGATTGATTGATCCCAGAGTCTCTTTCCTACAAAGTTTCGATGCAGCTTCCACTAAGAATCATTAAAAAAGGTAACTCGAACAAAGGCATCCTCATTACCCCATAAGGTGAGAGTGCAAGGAAGGGTCACGACAAGCCTTCCCTGTCAAATTTTGACACGGACTTGAATCTAAGACCTCTAAATCCTTGGTCCATAACTCCATATATCCTTCTGTTGTTACTTTAACAAAAGGTGTACTACATTGCTAGATTTATGAAGGGGTAGACATATAAAACCGATTTGCCATATTTTCAATAGAGAGGGTAAACAGGAAAATATAACGTTTGGATATAAAAATACCAATTCATGTTTATTGAATCATATGATCTAAAACATCAAGGAGTTGAGATAGTCACATTAAGATTCTAATTTTGTGGCTAGATGTAAACGCACAAAGTTGAAAAGGACATATATAATACTCCCTCCGTCCCAAAAACAACTTCCCACTTTCCTTAAATGGATGTCCCAAAATTAACTTCACACTTCAATACTTTCCTTATTTGGCAAATTATTTACATCAAAACAGTGCTAAACAGTGCCAAACAGTGTCAAACAGTGTCTAAACAGTGTCAAACACTATTTAAACAGTGCAAAACAGTGCACTCTATACTAAAGTCGAATTTATTTTTTTAATCTATGTGATTGTCAAACTGTGAAGTTGTTTTTGGGACGGATGGAGTATATGAACTAAAAGAAGAAGGGCAAACGAGCGGTGGTGGTGAAGGTGGAGCCGAAGAAGGAAGAGAAGAAGACGGAGGAAGGCAAAGAGGAGAAAAAAGACGACGAGAAAAAAGCGGGAGACGAGAGTGGGGAAAAGAAAGAGGGTGGAGAAGGAACGACGACCGATAACACGGGGGAGAAGAAAGAGGAGGGTGAAATTGTTCATCAAGAAGACCGAAAGTTGGAACTGAGAAAGCATGATCTCTACTACTATTACCCAGCTCAAAGCCATTACCAAGTGAATCCACACCCTCACCAGCAAAGGTTTGCCCAGGAAGTATATGGGTATGGCTACCCAAATATGTTCAGTGATGAGAACCCCAATGCATGTTCTGTAATGTAAATGATGATGATGATGTGGAAAGAATGGCATTTGATCCTTTAGGGCCAAAAAAAATAAGAACTAAAATTACTATAAGACGCAATCTACCAAAGAGAAAAGCAACCCTTAGTTGTCGATGAAAAACCGAACTGGACAAGTGTTCCCTTCAAAGTACACCACGTGATATCTTTAATATTAATGATGTTTTTACTTGGACTATAATTTGCTGGTCTGGTCTGATTTCTTTGTATTTTTATAACTATTCAAGTCTGCTCTGGTACAAATTACAGTCCAAGTAAAAACATCTTAACTATTCTATCAATATTGTACCAAACTTAATCTAAGACTAGAAAACCCAGCTCCATATGACCATACAGCTCCACCTTCTTACTTTAATAAAACCACATCGTTGTTGTCGCGGGGGGGGGGGGGGGGGTAACACATATAGAAACTCTAAAACCAGTTTGGCTTCTTTAAGATAGAGGGATATACTATGAAAAAACTAGTCTCACAATAAAAAGTACAAACTTTTGCTCTTTTGCTTCAATAAGAATTAAATATTGCCTTAGAAAGATTCCAGTTTCATGGCTGAAAATGCAAGAAAGATGGATTTTTTTACAGCAAATAAGATACATCTTCGGTTTGATAAAAAATTTGACTTGCATAAGACAAACTTTCTATGTGATTAATTTTTAACCAAATATTTCTAAGATGCAAACTACCATAGATAAAAGCAACCTTTCATCATAGATGAGCAAGCCAGACTAGATTTATTATGAATTATGTTATGAGGATTTATTATAAATATTGTTTTACTTATGATTGGTATGAAAGTTTTGAAAAGATTTTCCTCCCAAATGTTTTGCAAAAATATTATATATATGTATCAACATTTCTATTGTTTTACTTATGATTGGCTATGGAAACTCAATGATGATTACTATGAGAAATTTAATCCCAAGTTTAGCAAGTTCCCAACTTGCAATTCACAAATGGCAAAGCACTCAAGCCAGTATTGGCAGGCGGTTCAACGATATGTTTAACTATTGTGAAATTAATACTTATCAAATACTTCCATGTAATGGCTCATACCCGTAAGCGCAAGCCACATTAGCAGCATTCAGCAAAATGAAATGAAATGCAATGGCGTATTTCTAATTAATATTGTTAAATTTATTCTCAATATTAATTCTTAATAAATATATCAAAACACAATAAAACAGAGAAATTAAATTTGATATTGCTAAACCACACGACCTGTAATCTGCAGACTACTTCATCCTAATTTAATCTCCTTTGAGAAATGTTTGTGTTGATCATCTATCCAAATGAATTCATGGGGTGAGGCTAGACTTTCAACAACCAGACATGCATCATGTCCACCACCCATGTCTTTCCTTGCTTTGCTATCTAGTATGGTCTTTCTTTCTTTTGTCTCCCTATCAAGAATGAAAATTGTTTGTGGGCCACAAAAATGCCAAATTAAAGCCTTCTTGTTTAGAGAATAAAAGGTGACTCTGTCATAATGAAAAATTGGGTTTTCAGACCCTAAGATGATAAACATAGTAACCCAGGATTCAACTACACCATATGTCTTCATGGAAAGTATTTTTGTGGTATTGTTATACCTACGGTGGATAGCTATAGAAAAATGATCCTCAATAACCCGCAAAAGCACTTATTTCTTGAACTACTCCATCCTTTACTTTGGGTGCAGGGAAAGGTTCAAGCTTTTCACTCTCTGGATCAAAACACAGGATTTTATACCCTCTTGAAAAGTGATCCATCCTCCATCGAATTGCTTCAAAATGAAATATATTACGGAATTGAAGGACATTTCTACCATAACGCAGGTTGATTGAAAGGGACAACTCTCGCCACTCTTTCTGTTTGAGGCTGGCAACAAGAACCAAATGGGGAAGTAATATAATGACATTGTAATCTCCATTTGAAGAGTCATAGTAAAAAGCTGAACCCTTTGGGACATTTATGGGCTCAGTCAAGAGCTCAAGCACTTTTGAACAATGTCGGGTTAATGGATTCCAAAGAAAAATATGAACACTACAAGAGAGAAGCACAAGGCCATTGCAGCAACCCAAAATAATAGGCCTATAAAAGCGATTTTTTTTTAAGAAAGGAAAAATGCTCTGAGAACTCGCCAAGCTGTTCACGGACATAAACTTGGCTTAAGGGATCAACAGAGCTAATTTCGATAGGAGTGCTTGAAATCTGAATCGCGTATGAAGGAGACCCACTCTTTACATACACACTGAAACTTTAGCAGAGCTTTGACGGGAAGTTTCAGGAGTACAGTGAGAATGATGTCTGCTGGTATTCCTGCTTGCATCGTCGTCATAGGAGATTTTACTGGACAATTCGAGATTTCACAAGACATTTCAAAACAATTGTGTGGAACAAAAGTTCATGGGCAGAGCATGAAATTAGAGTATTAAGAATATGAGCCATGAGTAGCCCTGCACGAACTCAGGTAAATTATACCGTACACCCGATTGTACGGTGCTCACTGTACAACCAGGTATTTTTGCAATTAATTAAAGGTTTAAATATGTGTTTAGTCCCTGCAAATATAGTACATTTTGTTTTACATCCCTGCAAAATTATTTTTTTGTTTTTCGTCCCTGCAATTTTCGTTGGTTTTCTTTTTAGTCCATCATTGGTGATAACAATCTCCGTTTGACCTCAAAATAACCCTGATTTATACATTTCCTCTAATTCTTTGTCATGTTATTTAAAAAGTATTTTACTTTATTTTTTAGAAAGTTTTTAATAATATTTTCAAAATATGAATACTTAGTTTTAGATTATTTTAACTCTCATATTAGCCTCAAAAACATTATAAAAGGACAAATCTACATATTTTTACTAGATTTATATAACTAACAATAATTTTTGTTGTAAGTAGAGTAGTTTCGGAATTGGAGATGGACTAAGAGCAAAATAGTGCATATTGTAGGGATGAAAAACAAGGAAAATATTTTGCAGGGACCTAAAACAAAATGTGTCATATTTGCAGGGACTAAAAACGTATTTAAACCTTAATTAAAATTCCAGCTGTAAAGGTTAGGCAATCTGTTCTTCCATCTCGTGCTGCCGCTGAGATCCTGGGAGTTGGGAGTAGGCGCCGATCGATTTCTGTTCATCACTGGCTGAAGTCGAATTGTGAAGGAGGTGACGCTGCTCGCTCCCTGGACGCTGAAGTCGCTTGCTGACTAATTCCAGGATCTCACGGCCTTTGTTTTCAAATCGCAGGGAGTAAGGCGACTTTTGATCTAGAGAATCGCAGAATAGCAGGAGGACTAATTCCAATTTTAAGATGATATTTAATATTATATTTTAATATTATATTTGAATATTGTGTGTTAAAAGTTTCAGCTTGTTAATCAACATAAATTTTATGTTATATTGAAAATGAGTATAGTGTTAATAATAAATGTGCGTTCCGATTAAAAGAATTGAACATACATAAATGAATAGTGTTAATGAATATTTGAGCGCATCAGATATTTTAATGAGCTTTTGAATTTTTCAATGCTCATTTTATAATATATGTATACTCATTCGGGACTGTTGTTATGCTCATTTTAAAATGTCATATCAATGCTTATGAAACTAACTAACGCTCAAAAGAATAAGTATCATGTTCATTAAAAAAAAGTGTATTAATGTTCATTTAATTGAAACCATTATTTCCATCTCAATAGAGGAGGTTTGATGCTCAATGAAAATATTGTGATTTTCAACTAACAAATTCATCAGTGCTCATTTTATTAGTTACATATGTTCATCTGATACCGATCTTATGCTCATATATTAGACTCCTAATACTCAACGTAATAGATCGGATGCTCATTAAAAGTTCATTAATGCTCATTCACAAGAAACTATGGTTTTCATCTCAATAGCGGATGTTTGATGCTCAATTAAAATGACGTGATGTTCAACTAAGAAAACCTTACGATTTTCATATCAATGTACACTTTGTAGTTATGTATGCTCATTTGGTACTGATGTAAAGCTCATTTTTACAATGTCTTATCAATGCATATTTCAAAAATATCATATTATATTATACTCGCATATTGAAATTAATAAGAGTGAATTATAGATATAATTTAATAAGTTTTTATAAAAGAAAAAAATAAGAAAAAGAAAGAGAATTAGAATATATGAAACAAATATCGTGAAACTCATTGTTAGCCTCCTAATACTCAATAAAATAGACCATATGCTCACTAAAATTACACTATTGCTCATTTAGCGGAAGCCGTGATTTTTCTCTTAAATTACAAAATTTCCACCGAAATAAAACTGGCCTGTATTGGTTGTTGGACTGTCTTCCTTAGTTGGGCCGGGTGTACGTACACCCGGTTGTATAATATAGGCTCTCCACGAACTCCCCATACACTTGCCTTGTTTCAATCCCTGCGATCGTTGAAATCCCCCTTCGTTTCAATCCCTGCAATCTGCTCTTCTCTTCTCCGCCTGCGTATCGATGAAACTCACAGCAAAGCTTCAGGAAAACGCATCAGGGTGTTATGATAGGTTGAGAGAATCACACAATCATAACAAGAATTAGCTGAAGAAAGAATTTAAGCGAGAGGAAGAAGAGGTTCGAGAGAAAGATATTTCTTATTCATCAGAACTGCCAATCGATTTACAATAGTTTGTTTATATGCGTTAGGTTACTAACAAACCAACTATTTACAGTCGTTGATAGGATGATGAGGTGGCATCATTCTATTGATTACAAGTCATCAAAATAATTGTCAAAACAGCTTAGTTGTAATCCAGTGCAGCATAGAAGGCTTTATCCTACCATTTTCCCCTCCTTCCATTGAAGCTTTTCCCCAAGCTTTAATCTCCGGAAACTGCTTAGTTATTTTATCATAGTCTTCCCAAGTGGCTTCATCCTCTTGTAAGTGTCCCCATTTGATGAGTAATTGAACAGCAGCAGCATTATTCCTCTTAACGATCCTCCTGGCAAGAATTTCAGCTGGTCTCAGCATAGTATCACCATCTTCAGTCATAAGAGGAATACTATTGATAACTCTATCAGCAACTCCCACTTGTCTCTTCAGTACTGAAACATGAAAGACTGGATGTATCTTACTTCCTTCAGGTAGTTGCAGTTTGTAGGCTACAGCTCCCACTCTTTTTATAATAGGAAAGGGTCCACTATATTTGGGGCTCAACTTCCATATGTTGGATTTCCTCATACTCAGCTGTCTATAAGGTTTAAGCTTCAAGTAAACCCAATCCCCAACTGCATACTCTCTTTCACTCCTATTTTTGTCAGCTATTTGTTTCATCCTGTGCTTAGATTGTTGAAGTTGGTGCCTCAATTGCTCTGAAATCAACTGCCTTTGCTCAAGTTCTTGTTCAACTCCAACCACTGATAATTCTTTTCCCAGTCTGAATTCCATCATTGGTGGTTTATATCCAAAGAGAGGCTCAAAAGGACTCATTCCAATAGCTGTGTGATGACAACTATTGTACCACCACTGAGCTAATGAAAGCCATTTGCTCCAATCTTTAGGTGTCTTCCCAGTCATACACCTTAAGTAATTTTCTATGCATTGATTAACTCTCTCTGTTTGACCATCTGTCTGTGGATGGTAGGCAGTGCTCAAATGGTGTTGCACTCCTAAAGATTTGAGGAGTTCTTTCCAAAATAGGCTGGTGAAGATTTTATCTCTGTCAGATCGATATAATAGATTCAGGCAATCCATGAAATTTGCAGATATGATTAATGAAGGTATTAACTATCATAGATGCAGAGAAAGGGTGACTCAGAGCTATTAAGTGGCCAAAATTAGTGTATCTGTCAACTATCACTAATATAGTATCATAACCATTAGACTTAGGTAGTTTTTCAATGAAGTCCATGGTTATATGCTGCCATGCCTGCTGTGGAGTAGAGGGTGGTTGCAGCAATCCTGGAGACCTGATATTATCATGTTTGCATAATTGAAAAATGGAGCATGCACTCACAACTTCCTGCACTGTTAACTTCACATTTGGCCACCAAAATACACTTTCTACTCTTTTCAGTGTGCCCAGTACTCCTGAATGCCCCCTTGAACTGCTCTCATGTATCATAACCAATATCTTCCATCTTAAATCTCCATATGTTCCCACATACAACTTTCCTTTATATCTCAGTAATCCATTCTGATATGAAAAGTAACTGAGGTTATAAGGAATAGATATTAGTTGTAAAATGGCTTCTTCAGCTTCCTTATCTTCCTGATAGCTTACAATTAATTCTTCTTGCCATAGTGCTCTGGTGACTGATATGGTAATACAATTTCCCACCATATTTTCTTCTTCCTGGTCCCTTCTTGATAAAGCATCTGCTACTTTATTCTCAAAACCCTTCTTAGATTCAATTGTATAATCATACCCCAGCAATTTGGTAAGATATTTATGTTTAGTAGGAGTGGATATTCTTTGGTTGACCAAATATTTGAGGCTGATCTGATCTGTCCTTATGGTGAATGGAGCATGTAACAGATATGCTCTCCACTTCTCAATAGCCAGTGGGATGGCTAAGAACTCTTTTTCATAAATGGATAGCCCCAGATTCTTAGGTCCTAAAGTGTTACTCACATAAGCTATAGGATGACCATCTTGTAACAGTACTGCCCCTAACCCTTCATAACATGCATCTGTCTCAACTATGAAAGGTTTTTGGAAATTAGGCAGTTGCAAAATTGGTACAGTGCACATTGCCACCTTCAGCTCTTCAAAGGCTCTTTGAGCTTCTTCACTCCACTTAAACATCCCTTTTTTTGTTAATTCAGTTAAAGGTTTTGCTTTAACACCATACCTTGAGCAAAACTTTCTGAAATAACCAGTCATCCCTAAAAATCCTCTCAATCCTTTAAGGTTAGAAGGAATTGGCCAGTCCATGATACTCTTAACCTTTGAAGGGTCCACGGCTACTCCTTTAGAACTGATTATATGTCCTAAGTACTCCACTTGTTAAACTCCAAATATGCACTTAGATTTCTTTGCAAAGAGGGTGTGATGTCTTAAGAACTCAAATACTTGCTTGAGATGTTTTTTGTGAGTCTCCATATCTGGGCTATAGATCAGTATATCATCAAAAAAGACCAGAACAAATTGTCTCAAATACTGACTGAATATATTATTCATTAAGTTCTGAAATGTGGCTGGTGCATTGGTCAATCCAAATGGCATAACCACGAATTCATACAGTCCACTAGCAATTGTAAATGCAGTCTTTTCAATGTCTTCAGCCTTCATCCTCACCTGATGGTAGCCTGCCCTTAGGTCAATCTTAGAGAATATTGCTGCTCCTTGTAATTCATCTAACAAGTCATCAATTAATGGAATGGGGTAGTTGTTCTTGATGGTTATGGCATTCAACTTTCTGTAATCCACACAAAATCTCCAAGACCCATCCTTTTTCTTTATTAATAGCACGGGACTGGAATAAGGGCTTTGGCTAGTTCTGATTCCTCCAGTGTTAATCATCTCTTTAATAAGTTTTTCTATCTCTTGCCTCTGTATGTAAGGGTATCTGTAAGGAGCTTGTTTGAATGGTTTTTCCCCTGGTTTCAAATTAATTTGATGTTCACAAGACCTTGAGGGTGGTAAATCTGTAGGTTCCTGAAAAATATCTTGATAATCCCTGATAATGTCTTCCAATTATCCTGCTTTGAATATTAATAAATAAGTCTTATTGTTTACCAGGGTAAAAGATGTTTTATTTTTTAGTTGTATTATACTACGTAGCAGGGGCGGATCCAAGAATGAGAAATGGGGTGGGCTAAGTGAAAAAAAAATATGTACTATGCATACAAGGTTTAGCTTAGGGCTGTTACCGGAGTTTTTTTCAAACTGTATACTCGAGTTTGAACTTAATTTCTAATCTAATTTAATGTCCTGACTTTAATGATCTTTGAACTCGAACACAAACTACGTTTTGAGTTTGAATAATAAATCAAATCGAACTCGGACATAGTGATGTTTGGTTCGATCTGGATTCGAGCATATTGTTCACTTATACTCCCTCCGTCCCTAATAACTTTGCCAAGTTTGACCGGCACGGGGATTAATAAAGTAAAAACTGTGTGGTTGAGGTTTGTACAGAGGAGAGAGAATTAACAGGAACCATAAATTCTTTACTTAAATGGGAAAGTGGCAAAGTTAATGGGACATCCAAAAAAGGAAAGTTGGCAAAGTTATAAGGGACGGAGGGAGTACATTATAGAATAAATTGTATTACCTCGGTTCTTTTTTAGTTGCAACATTCGTGAATTTTGCGCTATTCACATACTTTACTTTGACTACATTTTATTTTTTCATGTATTATAAATTAACTTTTTCAAAGTTACTGGTTAAATTCCTCTCATTTTTAATTTTCAAAGTATGATATTTTTAATTTTTTACTAATAAGAAATGAAAGACGTTGATGGATAATCTTGTGTGCTAGCAAACGTGAATAGTAGACCGTTGCAATTTAA